AAAAAAAATACCATGAAAAATATTCTGAATATTGCAAAAAAAATCTTTGCAAAATATTTCTCGGAGTGACCGTATATGCATTTGTACTTGTAGACCAAAAACTATGTTATAAATTAATGAGGATATGTACATACATACATATATGTTTGTCAAATTTTATGTTTGTTTTTTGTTGATTGAAAATACTGATTTATCGCCTTAATAAATATGTAAATGAATTACAATAAATTGTACTTTTTTTTGTTGTATCAATCTGATTTAAAATACTATAATAAGATGATCACAGATGTGTTGCACTTTTACCTGAATTTCGGGACAATCCCGGGATCCCGGGATTGTATTTTCAGATCCCGAAAATCCCGAGATCGACAAAACCCCGAAAATTTACATCCCTAATATACACATGCAATGAATGCAATATAAAATTTCGTTTGATACTTATATGTAGTCTGTAAGATTAAAAATAATGTGTAGACAAATAAATAAAAAAATCAAATCCCTCTTATTTACTTTACCCAGTGCAGCCACTAACACTTAAAAAATTCTTTAGCATATGTATGTGGCACCGAGTCTCTAGTAGTCAGCATGGTTTCTTTCCTGGTAGGTCAACTGTCTCAAACTTAGCTGGCTTCTCTGAATTCTACATGACTGCTTTCAATGATTGTCTTCATGTTGATACCATCTACACAGATTCTCCAAAGCCTTTGATAAAGTAAGTCGTTCAATATTACTAAACAAGCTAGCTAGTCTAGGGTTTCATTCTACCTTTTTGTCTTGGGTTAAATCTTACCTCTCGTTTCGTAAACGTGTAGTCGTTGTCGATAACTCTGCGTCCCTCCCTTTCGTTGCGATCGCCCCCCCCCACCAGGCCAGCGAAAAGTAAAATTTATGGTTAATAAATTACCTCGTAAGCAGAAATTTGAAAACAAGTTCTGTTAAAAAGTTTTTTGTTCATTTTAACCTTCAATTATAATGTCTTCTTTAGCTTTTCACAAGATTATTTATAAATTATAATGTATAAGTAAACATGTAAATCTTTTCGCCAACGCACAGAGGAGTATTTGCATAGTAAAAACGGTCAAAATTATTTGGTGTGTTTTTCTGATAAGTAATGAAACAAAGCACGGAACTTAATCATATTTAGGCATTTATATGAGAAAAAAGGGTAATTACATTTATCTTAGGTTCATTTTCGTGATATATTTATTCATCAAATACCTTAGGTCCACAAAAAGCCTACTCGACAAAAATTCGAAAACGGCATTCATATTTCTAGGGCATATTTAGATCGGCGAGTCTGGATATGCCCTCCGTTTTTTCAGATTGGCTCTCATTTACGAATAATTGCGAATTGTGTAGAATTTTCAGTTTCTAAAAATTTTGATGCTTTCTCAATTTAAATTAAATAAATAACTGAAAAATAAAAAAAAAGAATGCGGTAAAGTGTTTAGCACACATTCCATATGTTCTCGTCGAAGCTGAGTAGAGAGTGTTATTGTCCAGTTTCATAGCCCTTCTAAAGATTTCCGAGATCAATAAAATTTGAGGACATATAATTCAGTAAATCTTGGTACTCAGATCCGACGAAAGCATTTGAGTATCGAGCGCACTTTTCCTCATTCGTTTTCTTTTATTATTAAGTTATTTTTACTGATAAAGAAAACAGTAGGAAGAAACTAGCGGTGCATCGAGTTTTTTCACCAGAACTTTGACAATTAGTATTCGATCAGTCTAACAGATTTTTAATTATGCCAGCATCAACTCTCCCTATAACCAGCCGTTGAAAATTTCTGCTTGGAATATATTTTGAAGGATCTTAAACTTCGATTTTAAATAGCGGAGAAAGCAGACGTAGGCGGACAGTTTTATAACAGAGTTTTATAGCCAAGGATCTAAAATATATCCCTATAAAAGAATATTGCCCGACGAGACCAGACAGGCAAACAAAATGACTGTTATTTAATTGAAATTTTTGCTAAAAATAAATATCCCATAGGTC